ATTTGGAGAGCCACAAGATTCCTCGGACCCCTTTGGAGTTGCCTTACAGGACAGAGAAAGAATGGAGACACAACCCTTAGCAAGTGAGGGAACTGGGGAAGGCCCTTTTGCTGTTCAGCCTGGGAGTTGTGGGGTGGTCTGCACAAGAACTAGGCAGAGGATCGTGGAGGAGGAAACCATCCATTCAGAAGTTCAACCCCAGAACTTCAGGAGCATCAAATACCAGGAGGCTGAGGGTCCCCGAGGGCTTTGCAGCCGTCTCCACTACTTTTGTTGTCGATGGTTGAGACCAGAAAAGCACACAAAAGCGCAGATGCTGGACCTGGTAGTTCTGGAGCACTTCCTGGCCCTTCTGCCCCTGCAGATGGCGACCTGGGTGCAGGAGTGTGGAGCAGAGACCAGCTCCCAGGCAGTGGCCCTGGCGGAAGGCTTCCTCCTGAGTCAGGCGGAGGAGCAGAAGGAGCAGGTCAAGTTGCAGGTGGGAGACCTTCATTTTCGGAGCCCAGAAGGGGTCTGAATGGAAAAAACCATGCATTTGAATTCTTAAGCCCTCCTCACGAGAGTTCTCTGCCATTCCTAATATGTGGAGATGTTTCATTAATTCTTGTAGGACATTCTTCCGTTATCTATTCTAGAAGATAGATTTGGGAAAGCCGTTCTTTTCTTAATTTCCAGCCTCGCTTATGGATACTGTGGGCTTTGAAGCTGTGTTCAGAGAACAAGAATCCACCTCATTTTGTGTGATGTCTGTTAATTTTTCTTCTTTTCTCCTGCCTACTATTTCAAGTCCTTCGCTGTGGACGTCAGAGATCCTGAGGGAAGCAGCAATCCATCTAGCCCCCATCAGGAGCTGTTTTTCAGGAGGATGTCTAAGGCAGATCCAAGTCAGGACACCTCAGGAGGTAATTGAAGGCCCTCCCATTCCCCAACAGATCCCAGCTCTCTCATCTTCTCTATGTCTTCTCTTCTCTAGAATGCCGCCTCCTATTTTATTAATTCTGCACTTTAAAATTCTCTCTCCCTCACAGGGAAGACTCGAACAAAGTTGTCTGGTCTTTCTGGTGGAGCTGCAACAGTGGCTGAACCTCCAGCTCAAGTAAGAGGAGGAAATTTATCTATTAGACTTCTATTCTCCCTTTCCTTCAGGCAGTCTCTCCTTCCATGTTTCCGCCTTTTTGGGGCTTCAGTGTTTTCTTGTCCTTGAGCAACATGGAATGGGGAATAGCAGATTCCAGTTGCTCTCAGTCAGCTTAGCCTCCTCTGAAGTCTGTGGTTGGGATTAAATGGTTTGTAATTTCACCCCTGAGATTCTTATTAGGAAATCTTTTTTTTAAAGATCAGTACTTAACTCTCCTCCTGCTAGTTACTCTTCCTACTATTTGTTTACAATAACTAATTTTTTAAAAAGTTCCTGAAGGGATAGGAGTAATATTATTTCAGCCATACCAACTGCTAAATATTTGTTCAGTCAAAAGCTCTGGGCTCTTTCCATTTTCTCACCTAAACCTTGGAATCCAACCAAGCATCACCATTTACTTAGTGCATATCTTTGCTTTGGGAATTTGTGAAGAATAGGACAGATCTTGCAAATCCTCCTGGCCTGTTCTGTTCTTTTTTTCCTTGTTCAGGACAGTCTTGTGTCCTTCGAGGAGGTGGCTGTGTA